GTAGATATTATCAACCGAGGACATGAAAACACTACTCCTATAAGTCTTGATAAGGGATTGAGTCTGTTTTGGGCATAGTACTCTTTCAGTCACCATGCCCATGAGTTTCATGATTTTCTTTAAACGTTTCCGTTAATGGCAGTCGCGGTGAATGTCTCAGCAACTCAGGTTTCAGTGGCTATTACAACCCTTAAGGGAAATAGCGTTCCTGTAGCATATATCATCCTATAGAGGCCTGCTGCTTTTTGAATGCTCTTTGCTAAATCCGAATGTTTCCTCCGGTTTACGATAGTTGCGAGTACATAACGAGCTGTGATTGGCTTTTACAAACTCAGAAAGCAGAGAGGTGGACTCTGTTTAGTCTCCGCCTTCTAATCGACTTTGGTCTTAGAAGTAGGAAAATTACTCACAGGTTTGACAAGCTTTGAATCAACTTGAGAGTTTTATGATTAACTCCAGTTTAGTTAAGTCACAGCCATAGTCTATCTTGTTTCCCCTTCAACACCTGGGTGAAAAAAGCGGTTCACAGGGCTTTCCCTTCTCCTGGACCAAGTTGAACTGGCCTGGGTCAAAAAGTGCGGTTTGGATAGTGTATCGGATGTTCATTCACCGGTGAACCTGGTCCAGTAGCTTGAAGATAAGTCGTACGTGAAAGACTGCAGAACTGCAGAAGTCATCGTACTCTCCGGGCGTACGCTGTGTTTATGCAAATTAGATTTTCGAAAAACCATTAATTACTCGCACTCGTCTCAAACTCTTTTGAGAAGGGGCGAGAAGTAACATGTTTGGACGGGAAGGTATGGACCGTGTGTTTACTGAATCATGCCAATATGTTGGTATGCGTGGGCTACCTGACAAGGATATTGTAAACAAGCACCGCGACGCAACATGAAAACTTACCGAACAGCGTTGATACACTACCGCACGCATTAGGCTTCGCAGGTCGTTACCGACCCTATCAGTTCGACAAGCCAGAAGAGATTGTCATTGATTTTAGACATCTTTGCCGCACAAAGCTATCTGACATCATCAGACAACCTAACTGGTGATGAAATCTAATTTCCCTTTTGCATGGCCTTTTGGAAATCGTCCTAGTGCGAACTTGATGGACGCAGAGGCCAATCACTGATTATACGAACTTGTTATATACTTAAGAATACCAGACCAAGAAATAACGCAATGGCGTTGTCGGATGGAATAGTATATTTGTGAGGTGGCGCCAAGATACTGATGTGTTGAAACTATCCGGCTAGAGGGTCGATTGTGAGCAGTGCAACTCAACACGGCAGTGTGCCGAGTGGCGGAGATGCTTGACCGAGTGCCTTTAGCTTAGCGAGTCCAGTTGAACCATCAAAGTCAGCATCAATGTTGAATTTCATCAGATCGTGGGTTGTTGATTCTGAAGAAGCGTGTGACGTCACGGTGCTGTTCTGGAGTTTCATGGTTCTCTCTCCAACGTTCGTGTTGTCGGTTGTCAGCTTTATTTTAGTTCCTTTTCACATGTTGATGATGTCCCCAAGAACATCCCCCAACCTCCATCTACCTATACGGAAGCAACACTCGCACTTGAAATCTCTGACCATAGTATTCACAGCTTGCATCAGACCCTAGAGTCCTCATCCACTGAACGTAAATAAAAGCGCCGTGGAGTACCCTGAAAAACGACAAGAAATGTGCAACTTTAGTTCCAATATGTTGCACTGAGCCTGATATCGAGACAAAACCTCGACACACGTATCATTTGGAAAGACAAAACAGAATAGGACACGATTTTCGCGCTCGAAGTTGGAACGGATTTGCTTCTGGTGCTCTGTTAGGTTCCCCGGGGCTGCTACGTGCTTGGTGGAGGTCACTTGCAAGGAACTAGCTGCTGACGCACGTTGCGTCGGCCAAATACAAGAGGCTATCTGCCGCTCTCTTAAGCTGGATCAAACGCATATTCGAATTCTTGGAGATTTCAGTCTACTGAGAGTTAAATTGAGAGAACATGCTATTAGGGGAAGTGACAGTTCCATTGGAGTCTGATTGTTCAGTCTGATAAATGAACTGAGATTTATGAAATATATGAGATGGGTGACGCGGTAGAGGAGCACCTAATTCAAATCTCACCTACACTGCATCTTCACAAACGAATAGTTCTTGATTATTAATTTGGCAATCCTCCCTTTTTGGTTAGGAATGACCACGTTGCTATCGTCTTTCAGTGTCTCTGCAAAAACAGACTTAGCTGACCTTCCAACGTTTGTCTTTTGAGTTCTGGGCAACTGAAGGCTTCAACTCACTGAACTGCGCTGAGACAGATAGATTGGGCAGCTGAACATGTGTGGCAGGGTGTGGACACCCACTGGAGATTCTTACTTGAAAAATCATCCATGCCAGTCAGTGCCTTGCTTCACTGTCAGCCCTAGTGTACCCCTGCTACTACTACTACTACTACTACTACTACTACTACTACTACTACTAAAAATACCACTGGGCAGAATGCACATGAGCAACAGAATCATATTCGGTCGACAAACCTGACTGTTCCTAACCCGAGAAGCCTGTTCCACTACACTGCATCAGTCTGACAGGTTAACGGGGGGACTCTCAACTATTGGGGCCTAGTGGACAGGCTGTAAGCGACACTAGATCAGCTGAATTCCCGGATCATCAGTGTTTGCAGACCTTTTTATCATCTACAACCTATTGCGGAGTCTAAGTATATCCCATTTACCAATTAGGACTCCGGTAGTCGGGGCGGCACAATGCAAACTGCTACCTCTCACAGAAGATACGCCTCCGGGTAATGCACATCTATGGCATTGTAGTAGACTGTGATTCCAAATTGGGCTTGTCTGCTTGACACAACACAGTGATACATCATTATTCACCTGACACCTTTCTGGTGGTGGACAAATCCTTGCCGCAGTTTACTGGAAGGAGCAACAATCTTGGCCGAACCTGCAGGTAAGTTGTCTAAGAGTTCCCTGAGTTCGGGGAGACAGCCTGGTTTTCGCAAGTTGAGTCGCACAGTGACACTCTTCAAAAGAGGTTGAAGAATCAACCTGAAGAACTACTGACCGGTAACACTGTTATACATGCTTTCCAAAGTAATGCAGCCAATAATTTGTTGGGAATAAGTGATAAACTTATGACGGTCAACTTCTTTTCATCCTAACATAGAGATTTTAGAAAAGGTACTCGTGTATTAATAACTTGCTCACTGTAATAGGTAGGTGAGTCAGTACTGCCGACCGTAATGGATGAGCTGTTATTTATTTGAACTTTCATAAAGTTTTGATCTAGCTAACCGCGACCGCCTTTTGACATATCGAAATAAATCAGGACCAAACCACCGTTCATATGGCGGTTGTCTTTCTACCGGCGAGACTATTTATTTAGAATTCACGTATGTTTTTCTATGACGGAAGAAACGGAATGCCGTAATGGAGTCCCGCATGGTTCGGTACTAGGGCCTCTTCTTTTTCCACCAAATATGAACGATTTTCATCAACAGGTATCTTCTGGACTCTTTACTTTCATGTGTGACCTGAAACTGGAAAGAAATCAGAAACCAGGAGGAAAGCATATTCCTACGGAAGCTTTGAACTAACTTTGTAGCTAGGCAATCAATAACGGAACTGCATTTAACGCCGAAAAATGTATGGTTGTACATCTGAAACATGATGCAAGTTATATATATGGTCTTAGAGTAATGGAATGGAAGGAGCCACAAGTGGAAGAGGATTGTGTTGGCTTAACTCCTCAAGACTAGATATCTCATGCCAACTGGGACAGGAACGCATTTGGTGGAAATTTGGCCGTTGTAACTCTTGGACGAATTCCTGGGAAATTCAATCGTGGACTCTTGTCTTCCCCCTTTTCGGGAGGGCGAGTTAAGTCCAGATTAGATCCGAAAGCGGTTGCAGAATTTGTTCGAGGATTTCGATATAGGACGTACGAAGAACTATTAGTAGCATTTAATTTACACCCTCCGGAATATGGAAGACTAAGAGGGGACTTTGTAATGGCTCACAATGTCCGAAACACTCTTGGTCACCCAGTCAGTCACTTGCCTAACCTTAGATGTAACACTGGTCTTGGAGGACTCACACAGAAGCTAAGCCTCGAACATAACAGGTTAGACAATAGGTACCACTTCTACCACCTAATGTTGTTGAATCTTGGAACGTTCTCCCTTCAGAATAGGCACTGTTAACTCCAGTTGAATCCGTTAGATGCTGACTTGATGCCTACTTAAGATGAGAGCGGGGGTTCATTCAACAATAACTTGATTTTTACACCTTAACCGCCATGTTTTTCTCTGTCTTTACTCAGGCTAAAAACTACAGGAACTAGTATTCCACTTCCTCTATATATGGAAGCCGGTTAAGCAATATTTCTTGTATTCTGTCACAGCCATCTTAACAATTAGTTAGAAGGACGTTTATTTCTACTGGTTGATGATTGAGATGAAAATCTGGACCACGGCAGGATTCGAACCAGTGACCACGGCCATCTTAGACAGTCAAATCATAATGACGTTTTTTTCGTTATCACAAACCATTAGTCGTCTGCGTAGAATCAGTAAACAACTCATTCAGTTCTGAATGGTTATTTCATGAATGACATGGTGTTGGAATCCTTCCAGAAAAGACTGTCGCCTATTGGCATTTTGTTCATCCGCTTCACTGCTGCGAGAAGTCCCACAAAGGCGTATTTTTCAAACGATTTTCAGACCTTGTATACATCTACGGACTTTGTACGGCAGACAGCACCGTTTGAGCTATGATATTTTCTTGATGTATAATTAAAACTTATCTCTGAAAAACTTCCTCACAGGTATTTGTTTTCATCCCAACTGATTGAATACCGTCCCCTAAGCACACGTGCTTATTGGGTATGTGGTTTCAACAGAACCACATTTCTGAGAAAATATGCGTTCATACGCCTACTTATGGCTTGTGGTGACTGTGGTAGTATACAGTGCTTTCAAATAGTCTTACATTTCCTATCTGTCCATAAATTTTGGTCTCAACTCCGGCCCTACGCCTTTTCATCTTATTGTGCCTATAACCTTTTATATATTCAGCCAGTTTTGGATGTGATTAATTTTGCGTAAGGTAGCCCTACATTTTAGTTATTGTAGCTTAATCCAACGGTCATCAATAGATATAGGAGGCAAGTCAAAATTCACTACCTTTGAAATGAATAGCATGATTATAACCTAGAAATATGTTAGTTTCTTTCTTGTGATAGTAATTCCAGTTTTCTCTTGCATAGAAATTCCCTGATCATGAGCCAATGAGAATGGAACAGTAACGTGGGGTTCGCATTGTATAGGAATGCAGAAATCATGTAACTTTTTATGCACTTCATGTGTTATTCACTATAAAGGTAAAGATATCTAGTTGCTTTGCTAAATTGGCATATCTTTACCTTTTATTGTGTACAATTAATACTAATCCAGTGTTCTTTCAACACTTTACATCGTTTTGGACCAAATTACTCTTCTGTATCTCTTCCGCTTTCTACGCACTTCTCCATATTAGTATTGCATGTCTTGCAGGTCACTTCCGCCGTCCATTCACAGTTTCCGTACTGTACCTACTGTAACGGCATAACCATTGGGTTGATTTTACTAGATGCAGCTCATTCGGTTTACTAACAAAGGGGGTGTGATATGCCGATTACAAGTGAAAACTTTCAACATGTTGATGTTTCATGCTGTGGTAGTAGATCAGTTGCTAAATATGACACTTAAGCAGTGTCTGAGATCTCAATTAGAGTGATACACGTGTAAATGCTAATAAAACGACGTTCTAACAAAAGAGTTTAGTTAATTGAAGAGCTTATTTGAATCACCGTAAATAGCTTGCGTACAACTTTCGCAACCCATGCTCTTCTCATCACGACCTCCCACATTTGACTCGACCTCCAATAACAAGGGTTTATGGAGTTTCTAATAAGTCATTTGGAGTTGGATTTAAACATTTCAATAAACGGTCTGCAAATACATACTTCTACCTTTCTGTGACAACCACTAGACAGTGACTTGGGGATAAAAGGAAGCAACACTAATAATGCAATGAAGCTGTTAAAATGTATGCGAGTGTAGACTAACTGTCCCCTGTATTTCGAAGAATTGGACGTGCCTCTGAGGTTATGGAAATAGGGTCTTGTTACATTATTTATTATTCCTTCGATTTCATTTATGAAGAGCAATGGCCCCACTGACTTGGATGTGTGGCTCATTGGCCCGAGCAATGACCTTCGATCAGTGGTTCCCTGGTTCAGAACCTCCAGCCGCCTGCTTTGACGTGGATTACTAGGAAGGTACCGTAAGCCCTCAAACAGTTTGGCCCACTACCTAGTGTATAAACAGCTGTGTCAAATGTAGTTGCATTGGTTACTGTTATTGGTTGCGTATCCAACTGCAGATGGAAAATGTAAATGTGTATAACAGATCTGGGTCACCGGCCTAGGCATTCTATCTTCAATAAATGAGTCCCGGGTTAAATCCCATTCTCACTTAATTTGGTGTGGGCATTTGGGGGATGGTCTCATGAGGATTGGAATCAGTGGTTAGACTATTATTGTTGTGGCTCAAACCGTTCACATGACAGGAGTATACGTTCTTGGAAGTTTGGAATATTCTCACTGGCCTCTATCTGTTTGTCTTCTCTTCTCTACGAACTTTTAGCCTCGCCGTCTCAAAATAAATATGACTCATGATCTGTTATTTAACACTGCACAAATTTAAGTAGGATTATATTTTCTGAACTTTATAAGGTGGGATTTACTTATTTTGGGTTTGTTAGACTTTATTGGTATTATTAATTTCTTTTCTAAATTCGGCTTCAAAATTGTGCCAACCATCGATACAGTGAGGGTATTTACAGCTTTCATTTATCGTAAAATATCTGTAGGGTGCATCATTCCTACAGAACTAGAATTTACTTTAGGAATCCAGTTCAGCCGGTTAACATCAACGCGAAACATGGCATTAATACGTAACAGCCCTTTTGCCACACCTCATGTTAAGGCATCAAGGTAGGCGCCAAAATGTGATAGGGTAATAAGGTGGCGGAAAGTCATAAAAAGAGAACAAGGAGTGAAATAATATAAAACTGCGGTTAGAACGAAGAGAAAATGTCCATGCATCTGCACTACTAACATCGATTTTAAGTCATATCACCTAGAATTTCTAACCAGTTTTGGTCGTCATGCTTATCTTTTCAACCGGAACATACTTCAATTAGCATTGCGTGACGGGGGAAGACGGTGACTGGGTGTGCGTAACCCATGCTTCAGTCACCTCAGTCGAGAAGGTTCACAACTCCAACTGACATATCTGCCTAAACGTCTACGCTTGACTTTGATATGGTGATACAACAACACATGACCTATGTTACGATGGTAACGATGGTTGAACATCTAAAGCCTCCAGATTTTCCCTGGCTTTAATGCCTATGTTCTAGCCATAATTGGACAGAGTCAACTACTGCACACTACGCTGTTTCCTTAATTGGAAGTCAGATATCATGGCGACACCATAAATGGGGTAATTTAGCGAAGGCCAAGCTATCTTTTTCTTATCCATGCAAAGATTTCGTCGGTCACCAACCCGCCAAGGGTAATGTGACTTCCCAAGTGAGCGAATTGGTCAGGGCGCTCAACCACAACCCCCTGTTGTTTGATGTAGGACCGACGCCGATGACTTTTGGGGCACTGGTCCACATTTAAGGGGATTGGTAAGAAACGCATCTCGAATATTGTTATGGTTTGAAGAAGACTGCATCTTTTCAGCCACTTCATCCTACAGAAGTATGTTATCTACGTATTCTTTGTCGATTAGGGAGTTTCCTGTAACAAGGTCAGATGAGGAGAGCGAGACTTCTACAAGCACGTCCATGACAAAACTGAGAATGGAGTGCACACTTGACGTACACCACTCGATGTACACAAGTCAAGTGATACTTCACCATAAGCTGCAACCAGCCCACAGGTGTTTGGATACAGATCCTCTAGCAGGATGATGTACTTGCTCAGCACCTTTTTCAATGAGAGACTGCCAGTAGGCTGTCTTGTCGACCTAGGTGAGTGGCTTTCAACCAAGTGGGTCACGGGTTCGAACCCCGCTCCACCTACCAAGATCTGGGGAGTCGGGTAGCATCATTAGCCTTCATAAAATAGGTGTGGCTCATCGTCTACTGCACGAATGTGCGTGTGTTTACATAGTGCATTTCGATTTTGACCGACTGAGTCGAATGCTCCTTTCAGGTCAAAAGGTGTGCATAGTTTACCATGAGGGGTTTTTTCTCCTTTATTGAAGACTGAAACAGTCAGCCATCGAAATTATTCAGGTGAATCATGTTTGACTCCTATACGCCAGCAATTAAATCAATCTGAACAATAATCCTTGGCCGATGTCTTTAAATACCTCTGGCGCTAGCAAGTTGGGGTTAGCTTGTTCTGCTCGTGTCAGATGACTTAAAATTTTCTCAACTTCTACAGGTGTTGTAGTTCCCAAGTCAGTATTCTATTCAGGGTGCGACTAGATGGACAACTGAAGACTAGCTAGAGGTCAGTTGAACTCTTCCTCGAAGTGTTCCGTCCATTATTCTAATCGTCTCCATTACAAGTGAATCGCAGACCCATCCTTTTCCACTCCAGTTTCCTTGATAAGTCTAACTAGCTGTTTAATGTTGCATATCGCTGTGGCCTTTCCTATCTCTTTAGATTTTGCCGCGCACCACCACTCGCAATCATTGCATCGGCTTTTCAGTCCACATATAAGTTACTTCCGCTTCTCATTATGTTCAGAGTCTGCTTTCACCCTCATTCATTAATTCAGAAGCTGCTAAGATCCACTGACCTTTAACCGTTTGCTGAAAGTTAGTTCAGGTCTTTAACGTTTTCTTCATAGCGGACTGGAGATGGCTCTCGGTTCCTTCAGCGTGAGTGACTTTGTCCTGTCCCTATAACTGTCTTACCTGTTCCCCACTTAAAACAGCCTTAATTTTGTCATCTCTGCGCTTCTCTCGAAGTGGTATTGTAGCTGTAGACTTTCTACGTTTATTTATGAAAAGACGTGCGTGTTGGAACTAGTGCGTGATCACTGTCCAAACATGTGCTCCAAAAGGAGCGGCAATCTGCAGTCAACTCTCTCCAGGGATAACTGAAAGCAGTATAGTTTATCTGTCCATCGTTGCGTTGAATTGGATGAACGCCAAGTCCAATAATGTCTCTCCTTGTTTGAAGTTCATGCCGGTCAGAATAGATGATTTTCTAAGCACAGTTGTAGCAGGTAGTTGCCACTATCCGTTTGTTCACCTAGGATTCCGGAAGTGGCTTTCTGTCTGGCCTAGCTTACTCGCTTGTGCAGTGAAACTGCCTGCTGCAAAAACTGTATCTGAACGTTTGGCTTTCACTTTCACTCATCGTTCACCTCTTCCCAATGGCACCCTCATCACTTCCGTGTCCCGGGATGCTAGAGTTTTGGCTAGCGAAGCTTGTACGATTTGAAGGTGGGTGCGGACATTGAAATTTCCTATATTCAAATTGAAGCGCGGACCCAGGGCCTCAAATATTTACCAAGGGCTGCAGGGCTGGGAGAAATTAAGGACAGGGATTTTTTACTAAGTGGTGTGAAGAAAAGTTAGAATGCAAAGATGTGAAAGGTTGATAATGCTCGGAAGGAACCTGAGAGTGTTGTGAGGACTGTTGACACTTCCTGGCCGCTCACTCTGTGGAATATTATTTCTTTTGGAGGCACCTGAAAGAGAAACTGGATTAGTTCCACATGAATACCCTAACCCTAATACCGGCCCCAAGTGGAGCTGTGGCTCAATGGTTTAGGGAGATGATTACCAACCATTGGATCATGGGTTTAAGCCACGAGGTGTGACCAGCCAGCTGGTAACGTCATTAGCCGTCACACAATAGGTGTAGCTCACTGCCTATTGCACGGATGTACACAAGGTGGGTGAGTGCGTTTTTTTACAGAGCCCATGGGACATCTGCTTGAGATGGTCACATACAGTCATTTAAGAAGGTTTATATTAAATTTGATTATCCTAAGTCCTGCTAGGAAACCTTACAGCCAGCATTTTAAGGCCACAGAGCATGGGGAAGTGTTTTATTTCGCGGTCCGACCTCTTCTGATCCCCTTTTCTAACGGGAAATCACCATCAGCTTCTAGTAAACCATAGGAAACACCTAAATGTTGTTGCACCCAATCCAGCCAGCAGTACGACCTCCCTGTCATCTTAGTGTAAGCTATATACACTGATGTTAACTCCTTTTTATCTTACCTCTATCAGACAGAACTTCCTAATATGGTAGGACCTCTGGGAACAAATGTTTTCACCAGCGTATCTCGTTTAGTTAGTATA